TTGGGAAACCCTGGGGCAGAGAGCCAGCTCTCATCTGGGGAACTTTAAACCACTTGAAACTAATATGATATTGCATTGGGTTGGCCAAGTTCATTTAGTTTTTTCCATATGATGGCTCTAGCTGTGCTTAGTTGTCTTTAACTTCATTCAAAACAATTGTGTTACATTGTGTATTGTGACAGCTGTCATATCAACGTGCACTTAAAAAAACATCAAAATTGGTGAATTTTTATGCAGCCATTTTAATATTGGAGATGGAAGAAAATATGCAACATTTTCAGTGTATTATGCTTTATTATTTCAAGAAAGGTAAAAATGCAAAAAAAAAAAGATTTGTGCAGTGTATGGAGAAGGTGCTGTGTCTGATGGAACACATCAAAAGTGTTAAAAGTGGTTAGCAAAGTTTCTTGGTACTATTGACATTTTGGCCAAATAATTCTTTGCTATGGGGCTGTCTTATGCACTGGAAGATGTATAGCAGCACCCCTGGCCTCTACCCACTAGAAGCCAATGGTGGGAGATAGCCGACATACTCAAAATATCCAAACCAACAAAGTTATTGGTGAAAATGAAAAATGTGTCTTTTATTTTATGGAAAAAAACTAAATGGACTTTTTAGCTAACCCAATATGCCAACTATAATTGAAAGGTACATTTTAGAAAATGTTTAAGTGGTGTGGTAAGATAAAAGCATTTTAGCCCTCACTGGGTTGAGCGCCAGCCTGCAAACCGAAGGGTCTCAGGTTCGATTACCAATCAGGGCATGTGCCTGGTCTGTGAGCCAGGTCCCCAGATTTGTGAGAGGCAACTGATTGATGTATCTCTTGGACAATGATGTTGCTCTCCCTCTCTTTCTCCCTCTCTTCCTCTCTCTCTAAAAATAAATAAATAAAATCTTTTTTAAAAAGTAAATATAAAAAACCATTTTATAAAACACATTTTATTGGCAAAAGTATAGGAATAGACATATTTCAATTTTCCCAGTCCAAAAAAATAAACCACTGATGCTACTGCTACCCCCGGTGGTTCTGATTTAAATGACAGAGGGGCGCTGCCTGGACAAGAGGAGTTCTAAAAGCTCCACAGGTGGGTCTAATTTGAGGACCACTAGTCTGAAAAGTTCTTTGGATGGATCAGGCTTAAGGTAACTAGGATTGTAATTCACTTATTCCTTCATTCCTTCAATCATGCAGCCAAGCACCCACTGCTTCCTCCTGACTTCTTGCATAGAGCTGGGGGTCCTGGAAGTGAACCAGACTCAAGACCCCAGCCCCATGAATCAGCTCCTGGTTTAACAAGGAGCTCCAGCCTCTTATAGTTCATCACTTCTCAAATGTCAGTGTGCTGATGGGGGCCTTATTCAAATGCAGGTCTGGGTGGGGGTGGGACTGGCATTCTGCATGTCTTAACCAGCTCCCAGGGGACATAGATGCTGGGGTCCACTTTGAGGACCCCACTCCAAGCTTTGTCCTCATTCTCAGGAAAGCCTACCCCAGAAAATGCCTGCATCCCAGGAAACACAGCATTCCCTTGCTGCCTTAAAAATAATTGTAAGTACCTTTCCCAAGTGCGTTAGACCCTAGCAGTTCTCAGTGGATCTCAGTAGATCTTCACAACAGCCAGGAAAGGGAACCCTGGGTTATTTTACCAATGAGCCCATTTCACAGATGAGCAAACTGAAGCTCATGGAGACTCCATAACTAGCCTATGCTACAGGCAGAATCACTCCCAATTTAAAGATTTTCCCTTAAAGGCAACTCGGTTCTCTTCTTTGAGAGTACTACCTGTGCAGGGCCCCGGACCCAGTGCTCAGAGGGCCCCACATTCGGTTTGCTGTTCTGCCGTCACTGTCTAGAAATTCTTAATTTCTGAATAAGGGACTCTGCAGATTCTGAAGCTGCTCCTGCAATCAGCACATGGATTCTTCGAGGAAACCTTTACAGAGACCACCTTGGTGGGTTAGCAGGACCACCAAACTGGGGGGCTAACAGCTAAGTCCAACACCTCCCTTTTCTAAGGGAGAAGCAAGTATCCCAGAGTAATCCTAGTAATTCCTGGGGTCAAGCAGGCCTGGGTTGGAATCCCAAGGCCAGCATCCACCAGCCACAGGACTAGAGGCTCATTGCTTATGTAAATTAGCTTAGCCTCCGTTTCCTAATTTCCCCAGTTACAAAAGGAGGAGGTTGAACTGGGCAGAGGTTCTCAACCTTGATAGCAGACAGCAATCACTGGGGGAGGGGAACTTCAAACATAAGGATACTAGAGCCCATTATCAGATATTCTGAATCAATCGGAGGGTTTAAGAGCCCCTGGGAGGCTCTAACGTGCAGCTAGGGGTGAGAACCGTTGAACTCTCTCAACATTCAGGAACTTCCAGTTCCTGCACTTCCAGTTCAGAGGACTTACTCAGTAGGAATGTCCTGACCCCTCCTGCATACTCCCAGCCAGCCTGAAGACCCCTTTCCTCCAGACACCTGTGTCCTACATTCCTAGGAGGCTCCTGCTGCACCGTTTGAGATTTCCCAAGGTGTTCTGGGTTCTGTACTTGTCTTGGGAATGGCCTGAGTCACCAGGCAGAAAACACAGCCCAGAAAATACAGCCCCGTGTTCATCTTACGGCAATACAAAGATTATTTTGCTTTGCAAAGTAACTGCTGTACAGAAAAGCTTTTAAAAAAAAATAGGCTCTGGCTTGCAGGTTGGCAAAAATAAAACTGAACAAAACACTTGGCAAGCAGCATATGATCTTATTTGCATACATTCATAACTCTGGGGGTATCAATGCAGAGAAGAGAGGTCTTGAGAGGGCCACCACGTCAGCTGTAATCCTCTCTTTTTTCCTTTGTGCTTTTCAGCTTGATTTTAAAATATACAGGACCACCTATTTTTATAATTAAAAAAAGCTATTTCTATTATGAGAAGAGAATATAGGGGTGATTTACATCTAAGTGGGAGAAACGGTCACAAAGTTTTCGGTGACCTTTTTTCTAAAGCTTAATTCTACTGCCCATTTCATTTAGTTTGCTGGTGTACTAGAATAATTAGAATACTAGGAGTATGAGGAATATTCAGTGAACCTTGTATAAAAATAGAACTCATTTTGTGGAGGCCATTTACCCTCATTTTAAAAATGTATGTGTGTTTATATCCTAGAAGCTGGGTCTTCCCCTCTGCGATTCTCCATGGGGGTCTGGAGCTGGTGGGAGAAGGCTGACCTCAAATCACCCCCAGTCTCAGGGCCCATTCTGCTAAGTAAATGGAAAGGATGGGGACCAGGGCTAGAGGAATTCCCGCACGGAGAGGAGATCCAGTACAGCCTCGCTGAGGGGAAGGTAGCCCCTTGGCCGCAGCGGGGAGGGGGCACTGGTGTCACTTTCTCTGAACCTGACCCCAGCACAACCGGCCCTTATATAGACACTCAGCTGCCGCTCCTGCTCCCTAGCCAAGGGCAAGGAGGGAGGTCACTGCTGCGGGCGGCCGAGACATCTGCGGAGCCCGCATCGCTCACCCCCGCCTGCATCTTCACCACGACTTAGGCCCTCCCCGAACTTCATACGACCCTCCACTACTAGGACCCCTGACCTTCTCTCCCTGCCCCCTCTCCAACACCTGTTCCCCCTCCTCTGAACTATCACGTTCCTCTCCTTCCTTCCAGCCCTCATCTACTTCCCTTTCCCCAGCCCTAACATCTCGGGGGTCTTCTTCACGTCTTGCCCTCCCTCACGTTTCTCCCTCCTGCAAATCCCGGTACTGGAGAACCCCATGATCCCAGCACCTGCCTGTCTGCTCTCCTGAACCCGTCCTGGGGGCTATCTCCCCAATAATCCAGGGCTTCCTGCTCCTCGCCCCCCCCTCCCCATCCTCGCCCGCGATGCCAGCCCCCTCCAAACCCCTGCTCTGGCTCACCTGGCTCATACTTGAGGTAGAGGATGGAGACTATGAAGTAGCTGAGGTCGAAGACGGGGAACAACGGCACTCGAGAGAAGCTGAGCGCCAGCTCTCCCAGGCTCAGAGCGGACAGCAGCTCCATGGCGTGCGCCCGGTCCCACCCCAGCCCCCAGCCCGGAGCGTCCCGCCGCCCGCGGCTCCGCGACTGCGCCCCCACCGCCCGGCCCGCCCCTACCCTCCAGGCACCGCCCCCATCCCGGCCCGGAGCGGGAGGAGGGGCGACAGCTGTCGTGAGGCAGTCCTGTCCCAAGGAGCCCGGCCAATCAAGTGTCCCTTACTTTGTCCCTCCTCTGGGCCATCAGACCCCACTCAACCTGGAGAGGCGGGGTGCTCACCCTTGTGGAGTTGGGCCAGTGAACCATCCATTTGGGAAGAGGTCCCTCAGGCACGCAGCCCACCCAGGTGGGACGAATTAGTCAGGACCGCGTCCAGATGGGGCTCGATGAGGACCCACGTCATCTGCGGAGCCCTCGGATCAGGACCTCCATCCCCTGTGGAGCCTGATTAGTGGAGAACTCCATCCTCCCGTACCCTGAAGGTGGTCCCTTCACTCATTCTCTGTGCAGCTCTCATTACCCTAGTCTGTGAGGCTCAGTAAGTCATGACCTCTGTCCCCCACGGGGACTTCCGTCTTCCAAAGAGACCGCTCGGTAGGGATGCCCCGCCACCGGTAACGGGGATTCCCGCCTCTTAGGGAGCCCCGAAGGACCCTCCCCAGTCAGTCGGGGCGTCCATGCCGGGGAGGACCCACTGCATCAAGACCCATTCCCTTGTGCAGCTCACTAGTCAGGGGCCCCGTTTCTTTAGAAGACCCAGATGACACTCCAGAAGAAAAAGCTACAGCACTACTTCTACAGCAGGTGGGTCACTCTGGCAGTGCGACACGCCTCCAGTGAGTGACCTAATCCCGTCTCTAGATGGTCCCTCCCGTCGGAGACGTCACACGCCCGCCCTGTCTTACTCCACTACGCTCTAAGCCTCTCCCGCGAGTACCGGCGCTACCTCTTCCCTAAGAGGGCCGGGCCTGCCTGAACAGGATCTTGCCTGCCTTGGCTTTCGATTGGCTCAGTCATCACCAGCGCTGACTTGCGATTGGTCGGCTCAAATTCGTCTCCCCTTCCATCTCGGGACTTCCGCTTCCGGCTCTATCGGACGTTTCGGCTGTAACGATGATCGGAGACATCCTGCTCTTCGGGTAATTAAGGGGACTAGAGGTTGGACAATAGAGCCCGACGGGGTTGGGGGCGGTTTAGGTAACCGTATTCTCCCTCCGCAGGACGCTACTGATGAACGCCGGAGCGGTGCTTAATTTTAAGCTGTGAGTAGGCCGCGTAAACCCGCGGCCCCACCCGGGGACCCGTAGCCCCGCCCCTGCGAGCGTGGGCCAGCCCCACGTCGGCGGTCCCGCTCCCAAGTCTCCGCCCTCCGGCCCGGCTTGCAGCCTGGTCTCTGCTCCACCGCAACTTGAAATCGTGACTGTCCGTTTCCCGGGGATTCCTCTTCTCGCACCCTGAAGAGCTTCAGGCCCTATAAACTCATTCCTAACCTGTATTCAGGGACTAGCTGCTTCATCTTGTTGGTGGCTGTAATTGGTGGGGCAGGTGGGCGCCCGGAGAGGGTCATCGAATCTCCGTAGGTCACACAGCAAGTCAGCGGTAGGGCTGGCTGGCTGTGGCCCTTTGAGGCCAGGGGACTGGGCGGTCCTTGTGTCCCTTCGAAAATAGACACTGCTTCTCTTTGTAGGAAAAAGAAGGACACACAAGGCTTTGGGGAGGAATCCAGGGAACCCGGCACAGGTAAAGCCTCCTTTCTGGATTCTGGAATTGGTCCATTTTAGAGGACAGTTCTTTCTCAAGTCCTACTCCAGTTTTCTTTTTAGGGGTGTGTGTGTGTGTGTGTGTGTATTTGAGAGGAGGGGCACATGAAGATGTAGTGTTACTTCCGCCTACCTCTGCCACCCACTTCGTTCTACTGCTAGAACTTGGTGCATAGATCAGTACTCACATCACTTCCTACAGTTATTTTTCTTTAAGTATGTTGTCATCTGACTAACATCTCCCCCTCACACTTGACCTGAAACTCCAGAAACGAGACTCCAGCTTGTTTTGGCTCATTTGTGCTGTGTGATTGCTTGTTTAGTACTTGTCCTCCTGGAGAGCTCCTTAGGGCAGGGACCCCTGTCTCTGTCCTCCCTGTGTCCGCCACACTTAACTCCTGCCTGGAACAAATGGGTGGCCTTAATCAGAATCTGTTTATGACAGGAGAGCCCATTTACATGATCCTCAGCTCAGAGAAGGGCCTTGCCAAGCAGTGCCTCTTGGACATCCTAGGGACAGACCTGTCTCTGTCATTTGAAGTCCATGATGGGCCAACACTTACATAGGTTGTGCCACATACAGCTTACTCCGTGGGGTGGATACTACTGGACTCGTCTAAAGTGTGTTCAACAAGACCGTGTGCTGATGAAACACTATGTGCAGCAGTACCAGGTGGCTGTCATGATGGGTTTGTGTGACAGTTGCTGAGCTCTTGCCTGGTATTTTGTATATACTTCACAGCTGTGCTCTATAGATGACACTTTGGGTAACATCCGTGAAGGTCACCTAATCTGGACCAGTTCATTTTATTCCAGAGGCCTGGGTGGGGCATTGGTGTGAATTGACTCAGAACCTGAGAGAAAGGTTCTGAAACACAGGTCTCTGGAGTTTTAATGTACCAAATTGCCGCCTCTTGGAGTGGTTTCTGTTCCTTGGCAGCAGAGGGGACTGGAGTAAGTTGTTACCAAAGCAGAACTCCTGCTTTACATGCCTAAATTAATATACTTTTAGTTGCAAATACTTAAATCCCAGCTCAAAGTGGTTAAAGCAAATTAAAACATCCAAGGGTAGAATTGTCTTCAGGCACACCTAGAGTCAAGGCTCAAAGCAGCCCCCCAGCACGTGACTATCTCCAGCTCTCTTTATTCTTCTAGGTTGGTTTAACTGTCAGGCTGGCTTGTGTTGGCAAAGACGACCCTAGAGCAGGGCTCAGCACATTTTTCTGTGAAGGGCCAGATTATAAATAGTTTTGAATTGCAGACTGTGCTGTCTCTGGTACAGCAATTCAACTCTACCATTGGAACTAGAAAGCAGACATGGGCAACATGTTTTATTGGAACACAATATGTCTGTGTTCCAATAAAACTTTATTTGTGGATACTGAAATTTGAATTTCATTTAAATTTTCAATCTCACTGAATACTCTTGATTTTTTTAATCATTAAGAAATATGAAAAACATTCTTAGCTCTGCGGCCACACAGAAACAGGTGGCAGGGACTGGTTTTGGTTCTTGAGCCATAGTTTGCCAACCCCTGCCTTAGAGGACTCTGCTTATATTTTTGCAACCTAGCCAACAAAGCCTGGCAGAAAACAGTAGTTGGAGCAAAAGTCCCAGGGCTGACTCTCGTTGGGCCTACTTGAGTCATGTGCTCCTCCCTGAGCCAATCAGAGGCTGGGATCCTGGTGCTCTCCCAGGATTGGCCAGTGGCAGCCACAGCCTGAGTACTGAAGGTGGGAGAGCAGAAGAGACCCAAAGGAAAAGGGGAGCTGGCACTGGAACATGGGAGCAATGGGTGTGGGGTGGGCAGAGACCACAGAAGCACCTGCAGCTGTGACAACAGTAATGCAGTTAGCATTACTTATCAGTGCTTATAAACATCCTTTCTGACTTTCCAGGTGACAACATCCGGGAGTTCTTACTGAGCCTCAGATACTTCCGAATCTTCATCGCCCTGTGGAATGTTTTCATGATGTTCTGCATGATCGTGTAAGGCAGGCCTGCCCGTCTCCTTTACTGTAGTTCTGCGTTGTTCTCCAGAATGACCCACCTGATGGTCAGTCTCTGTCTTCTGAGCTGTACTTTGGTGTCACACCTTCTACCTTCAGAATAAGAACTCTCTGAGCTAGAGAGGAAATGGGTTTACAGGGTTTAAGCTACATCTCTGCGGTCCATGCTGGAGCTTAGATTGGAACATGGTGTTCTCCAAGTCCTGGCTGTGTCTAGTATGTCACCAGGGGCTGCCAAGAGATGCCTTCCCCAAGCCTGTGGCCTGGTCATCTCTTGCCAGTTTTGCTGTCCTTAGTGTATACTTGGTATATGTCAAGGTGAAAAATGGTTGGACGGCCATTGTGTTTATGGGTCCTGCTTCTGCCTTGCTGGAATCCTGCAGAAGTATATTCAGACTGTTTCTCTTTTTATGCCTTAACATTTTCTTTTTGTTTTTATCCCCTTTTTTAATTTTCTTACTAGTCTAAAAAAATCCAATTGGGTTGGTTTTCCTTCCAGCCTCGGGCCATATTTCCAATACTGCCATTAATAAATTGTGTGACTCAAAGTAAACAGACTCAGGGTTAAAACAGCAGAAGAATCTAGAGTTCTGGGCCATGCCAGGCTCATCTCGTATTCTCCCAAAGAGGAAGAGAATGAGGAGTTGAGATGTTAAATTTGGAGTTGCTAGGTGGTCCTCGTGCCAGCTGGCTGTTTGAGGAGCTGTTTCTAGGACTTAGGAGATGAGAAGATGAGAGCGGTTCCCTGCGCCACTGGGGAGCATTTTGGGGTCCAGAATGAGGACTGTGATGGATGCCCAGAGAGGCCCCTTTTGGGAGCTCAGATGAGGCCTGCTCAGGTGCAAAGAGGGCTGGTAAAGAGATCGAGGAATTTGCAGACGAGTATGGGAAGTGTAACAAGGACTCATTGAAAGTAGAACACTATGGGGGTGGCTCCTCTGTCCTTTGTCTGTCTAGGTTACCCCCCATCCATTAACTTATTCATTCACAGCTATCCACTGTGGGCTGTGCTCTGGGGTCACAGCTGAGACCAAGACAGTCATAGTCCCTGCCTTTAGTGAATGTATGATGTAACGGGTGAAGCACAGAGAGATAACAAATAGGAAAAAGTCAGTTGTGAGGTGGCAGCAGTGAGGGAGTCTCCCAGTTGAGGAGGTAGTTAGAAAGAGGCACCTTGATAACATGCCTTTTAAATCCAGAGTGACAGGAAGCCCAATTTACAGAGCTGAGGGAAGCAAGGTAGTACCAGAAGCAGTGTGTGCAAAGTTGTTGTACCAGGGAAGACCTTTGTGTGTTTTTATTGTTTTTATTTTCTGTCTATTGGCTTTATTGCCCTTTCTTCCTTCACTGCTCGTCTTCTGGCCTGTGACCAGGATGGTAGCCTCAGGCTCTGTGATCTCCCAGCTCCGCACAAGGCAAACTTGATCAGTAGCCCAGTGTCCTGATGTCATTTTCTATGAGCAAAGTCTGATTGACTTAGCTGTCACCCAGTTCTAGTTGGATTGAAGGTTCCTCATTCCAGCCTAACCACTGAGGTCGGGGCTCAGCAAACTGTGGCCAATGGGCCACGGCTACTCCCTGCTTCTTGTCACGAATGAAGTTTTACTGTCACACAGCCATGCTCACATCTGTGACTGCTTCTGCCCTGTAGCAGTTGGGGCATTGTGGCAGAGATTGCCTGGGCTCACAGAGCCTGAACTGCTTACTGTGTGGCCTTGTACAGTGTGCTGACCCCTGACCTAGGCCAGCTCTTCCTGCAGTGGTCATGAGTGAAGGAAGATCTTCTCTAGAGAGAGATGTCAGGCAGTGACTGGTTTTTCCAGGATATTAAAACACTGAAATCATATACATGTCCAAGAACAGGAGAAGAATCAGGTCACTTAAACAACATCCATATGACCAATTGTCAGCTGTGAGTGATGGTGTGCCAGAAGGTTATGTCTACACTGGGGAATGTTTTGAGAATAAAAAAAGCTGATGTTACCTGTATGCATACTGTGGCTTCAGTTGTGACTAGCACACAGTAAACATTGAATAGATGCTGGTTGGGTGCTGCAGTCTGAGATGGAAACACTTCCAGTGAGGGATTTGGAAGGATCTACTCTAGACTGTCCATGGAGGTGACTTGTAGCAGGGCCTGAGGAATGGTTTGCTGTTCCCCACGCCAACTTCTGTATTGTTTGAGCTGGACTACCTTGGAGATATTTAAAAGTCATGAAAAACTTTAAATATGGAGAAACGTACCTGAATGTTTAGGAACTGAGAGTACTGATGTCTGCAACTTAACTTTCAACGACATCAAAAATAAGGTAGTCAGGTGAATGGATAGATGCGCAGTAAAGCAAAGTGTTAATTGCAGGATGTAGGTGATGCGTATGTGGGTGTTCACTGAACTGTTCTTTTAACTCTTCTATTTGTTGAAATCCTCATAGCAAAATATTGAAAGGAAGATAGGGAGAAAATGAGGGTGGCAAATCACAGAGAAGAGTAAATAAGGAAAAAATGGAAGCTGGTTTTCACAATTCAAGATTTTGTAGTATATTCGCAGGGTTCTGCAACCATCACCACAATCTAATACTGGAATATGTTCATCATCTCTAAAGGGAAGCCCCATTCCCACTAAGCAGTCACTCCTGTTCCTCCTTCTCCCCAGCCTATGGCAACCACTGATGTACTTTATGTCTGCTTTGGATATTTCATATATGGAATCATAGAACATGTAGCCTTTGTGCCTGGCTTCTTCCACTAGCACAATGTCTTCTAGTGTCTTCAGTGTTGTAGTGTGAATCAGGATTTCATTTCTTTCTATGGCTGAATAGTAGTCCATTATATGGATATGCCACAATTTGTTCATCCACCCATTAGTTGATGGATATTTGGGATGCTTCCTTTTTTGACTATTATGAATAATGCTGATAGGAACATTTGTGTCCAAGTTTTTGTACAGATCGTTTTAATTTCTCCCTGGTGTATACCCAGGAGTGGAATTGCTGGGTCATATGGTAACTTCTGTATTTATTCTCTTGAGTAAGCTCTAGACTGTTTTACAAAGTAGCTGATCTAAAAAGAAATGGTTGGTCCTCTTGGTGGTGAAGTGTGGCTGTGCTGGCAAGAAAAGACCCAGTGCGACAAGAGAAGTTGATCTTGGAGTTGGAGAACTGACTGAGCACTTCCTCTGCCTTCAGGATCTGGCTTGAGTGGTTGCAGGTGTGGTGCTGGGTACCCATGTCTCAGCAGCACTGGGTGATAGCACCTGCGCTGGCTGGGCCCAGGTACGGGGCATGGATGCTGCTTTGGGAGTTGTAGTGCAGCCAGATCCAGAGGCTCTTGCCTGCAGTCCTCACTTTTTGAACACCTGCGCACAGTAGCGATTTCCCCTAAGATTTCTTCTTCTTCTTCAGCTGAGACACAAAAGTACCAGAAGTGGGACTTGGCAACGACATGATTAGGTGCAAAGATGCACATGCAGTAGAGGGGTGGTGTGTGGCACTTGGGGGTGGGCAGGCAGCGCCCCACCACTTTGTACTCTCGCAGTGTGCCCAAGGCCTTCATGGTGTTCCCTCTGCATTCTCAAAGCCCTTGCCCATTTTTTAATTGGGTTATTACTGAGTTGTAAGAGTTCTTTTTGTACTGTGTGTACCAGTCCCTTATCAGAAGATACATGATTTGCAAGGATTTTCTCCCATTCTTTATGGGTTGTCATTTCACTTTCTTGAGGGTATCATTTGGAGCACAAAAATTTTTTTATTTTGATGAAGTCCTATTTTTTTCTCTTTTTGTCACTAAGAATTTCATAGTTTTAATTTTAATAACTAGGTCTGTCGTTCATTTTGACCTAACTTTTCTGTATGGTATGGATGGAGATCCATCTTTGGCACGTGGTGATCCAATTGTTCCTTCACTGTCTTTTTAATAACCTTCTTATTTTGGAAAATTTAGATTTATAGAAATGATTCAAAGATAATACAGAGAATTCCCATATGCATCTTATTAACAGCTCTGTGGGTTTCCCCAGGAGGCCTGTGTCATAACCTACATGCCCATTTCCAAACTTCAGGGACATTTACTGTAGTTTCCAGACCTTTCTTCTTCCATATTTTCTTCAGTGAACATAGTTAACTGTAATCACTTGTTAATCAGAGGTCTTTTTTTCTTTAAAGATTTTGTTTATTTTTTCAAGTGTATAGCTCAGTAGCATTAAATATATTCATAGTATTGTATAACAGAAGAGTTACTTATAAAATGAGAAAATGATATACAATAATCTTAAAAGCAAAATAAAATATTATCTTTAAAAACTTTTGATTTTTTTATTTCAACAAGGTGGGGGAAGAGAGAAACATTGATTTGTTATTCAGCTTGTGAGCTCATACTTACGCATTGATTCTTGCATCTGCCCTGATTGGGAGTGTGGGATGAGATCGTATCAGGACAATGCTCTAACCAACTGAGCTACCCAGCTAGGGCCAAAATATTTTCTAAAAGTGTTTTCAGCCTTGGCTGGTGTGGCTCAGAGGATTGAGTGCTGGCCTGATAACCAAAGGTCAGCAATTTGATTCCCAGTCAGGGCAGGTGCCTGGGTTGCAGGCCAGGTTCCCAATGGGGGGCGTGCTAGAGGCAACCACAGATCATTGTTTATCTCTCTCTCTTTCTCCCTCCCCTTCCCTTCTCTCTAAAAATAAATAAATAAAATCTATTTTAAATTAAAAAGTGTTTTCAGAGTGATATCTTTCCATTCTCACAGACATTTCTGCCCTCTGAATTTTCCAGGCTATTTGGCTCCTGAGCTCCAGATACGGAACTAAGAACACGCCTTCCTAGATGCTGAGTTTTTCTTCATTCCTGATAACTTCAAGAATGTTTCTGACTGGAAAACCGGTGACCTTCCCAGAAAGCCCAAGCTTGTGGTGGGTGAAAAAAATGTTCGCCAAGATGCACTTGGTTTCCCGGCCACATCACCGTTTTGTTTTTAAAGACATTTTCCCATTGGTCTCTGCATTGAAACATTGCCTACTTAAGGAGTTTCAGGAGGGAGTGAGGGGTTGTGATAACATTGCATTCCCCATAGAAAAGGTAGTTTTTATCAGAGTGAAATCCTACTTCCACCAGGCTTTCACTGGAAACATGTTCCTGGCTATTTCTCTCTGTATTTCTAATAACTGTTGCTTTGGTTTGAATTAAACAGATTTTTAGAAATCGTTTATTTCTGAGGATCTGAAGCAGAAAAGTTGGCTTTTAAGTTTGATGAAGCCTCTTTATTGGACTCTGTTTGTGAATAACAAAGTTCATTGTTGCTAGGTCTGAATCCAAGTTCCTTCTCTGTCACAGTAGGTTCTGCTTGGCTATTCAGTGTAGCTGTTACCCCCAGGACTTTAAGAATGAAATATTACTGGTTCCCATGGAAAAGAGGTATAAAACAGCTGACAGGGGCAGACGGGTGTTTTATGAGAAATTTTGCTTGGTTTTGAAAGCACTCTGTTAAGGAACCATTAATTGTACAATTAAAAAAATTCTTTTAAGATTTTAAAATTTATTTTTAGAGAGATGGGAAGTAATGTGCAAGAGAAACATCCATCAGTTGGTTGCCTTGCATGCCCCAAACCAGGGACTTAGCCTGCAACCCAGGCATGTTCCCTGACCAGGAATCGAACCAGCGACCCTCCATTTTACAGGCCAGTGCGCAATTCAGTGAGCCATACCAGCCAGGGCTGTACAATTTGTAGAGTGAGAATGATTTATGTGGTAATGTTGGGACCTAGTTCTGAAGCTTGAGGTTTTTGGGTCTGTTTTTTAAGTGGGGGGTTTCAAGGTTTAAAAAATAACGAGCCTCACCTGAGCATTTTTGACAGAAGCTTTGAAAGAGAGTCTGGTTTAATTGCCAAAGTGAAATGCTGGTGGTCAGCACCTGGATCCCAGAGGCCCTTGATTTGTCTGTTGTGGTTTTTGAAATCCTGACTTGTAGGTAAACCTGGTGGGAGGAAGAAGCCAACACGCAGGCTTTTAGAACCAAGTGAGCATTGAGCGTTGAAAATGAAGCTCATTTTCCCAAAAGACCTTTTGTTTTACATTTTTGACCAAGAAGTTGACACTAACTTGAGTCATTTTGATTAGGCTGTGTGAAACACCTAGGAGTCATTTTGGAGGCTATCAAAAAGGAACAATGTTCCCTTTTGGATTCTGCTCAATGAATGTTGGACAAGGATGGACGAGTAAGATTCTGACCTGACTGCACCTAGAATAGAAAGGGCCATTGGTAACGGTAGATTTCACTAGACCAGGGTCAAGTCCACTTGTACTCCTGCTCAGCTAACGTCATTCTACTTCATTGCTTCTGTAGTTTATTCCCTTGTCAAATCTGGCCAGGCATCTCCCCGTGGTTTGTAAGTATCAGGGTGCATAGCTTCTGAGTTGAGTTTTGCCCAGGCCTGAGTTCTTGGAGCAAGAATGTACGTGCCAAAATCTTGGCTGGTCATTCTTCAGACTGCATGAATGGTGTGAGGAAACCTCTGCCTCATTCAGATTCACACTGACATTTCAATGAGGCAAGGCATTTGTGTGTTATGGGAATGAATTATTCTCAGAGAAGACAATGGTGTCATTGAGATTTTGTTTCAATAATTGTATTTTTTTTTTCCAGAGAACTATTATCTCATTGTTAAGTTCTCATAAGCAGGGTGACTTTGGGGGATGCATGTTGGAGCCTGCAGTACATTTTAAAACCGCATATCATGAATCCTTAGAAAGCTTTTCATGAATGCTTACTGGTACCAAAGCTTATCAGAGGTTGAATTTTGGGTGCATAGGATCCCACAACATTTAACTGCTCATGTTCAGGGTCAGTTAGATAAGAGGTTGGATTTCACCTCTGTTCCTTGTTGGAGGGACCTTGGCTAACTGCTTCCCCTCTCTAAGCCTCAGTTTCCATATCTCTAAAACGGGCTTGAAAGTCACACTCACTTGGGTTTGTTATAAGGTTTGGTGAATTTGAACTTGGGCTGGGCCCTTGAGCAGATGCCCAGCACTGGGTAAGCACTCGATACCTGTGGGTTTCCTCACTGCCATGTTTTCTCTCTTCTCACCTAGATTCATTCGTTCAGTCCACACCTGCGCCATGAAGGGGCGATCACAACAATTTAAAAAATTGGAAACACTTTCCAGCATGGAAAATCTTTCCCCATCTTCCCATTTCCTATACAGTGTTTTTCTTATGCCGGTTGGTATATACCACACAGTTCCAGTGGTGGGAGAGGCAGTTCCGGCTCTGCTGTTTTCATTGCAGTGTCACTTCCTTCATATTTTCTGGGCTGCCAGAAAGGCTTCATGGTCCTCATTTTTAATTACTGTGCAGGGTCAATAAATTTCTTTTTAAGCTAGGCCTTCTCACTTGATTCAGTTGTACTTTGTCCACTGTTATAAATATCACAGCTGTCACCAGTGTTAGGACCTTCACTGGCTTCCCTCACTGGTACTTCCAGGAGCGCTCCAGAAGGTGACATTAGTATGTACCACCATTATGGCTTCAGTGGCTTTCATTTATTTTATTTTGTTTTAGTTTCTTAACTATCAATGTATGTTTATTTTGGAAAAATTATTATGTAATACAGCTTGTTTCTGTATTTTTTCCTAAAGTAACATTCTTAATAACTGCAGATAAGCCATTGTAAGGATATATTAATTAATTTAACCACCTAACTGACGGAGATTTGAGTTGTCTCCAGTTTTGGTCTGTTGTAAATAACACTGCAGTGAACATCTCAGTGTATCATTCCTAGTGGCTTTTTGAGGTCACTGTTAATAAGAGATCCACCTTGACAACTTCAAGTAAAAATGCCAAAGAAAAATGTATCTTGGACAGTCTGTGTCCTTGTCTTTATTTTTCATTCGTTCAATCATTTATTCCTCCACACCTACGTGCATACGTCCATGCGTACCAAAGGACTTGGTTCTAGATTCCTATCAGCTCATCCAGGGTGGGTATTAGGCAGCTTCAGTTTAAGGTGGGTATTACGCTGCTTCCGTTTAAGCTCTGAATAAGGAGGTTTTTCAGCTCCGCCCAGATAACTGTTTCTTTGTGCAAGTGACAGCAGTTGACATCACACTAGCTGGCTTTCCACCTTGGCTCAGAAGGATCTTAACCACCATCTAAATAATAAGCACCCACTACTTCTTGCTCTGGAGTGTTACCTGAAGGTGCTGCTGAGGTGAGAAGCTATATGTGGACAACAAAGAGAAGGCCTCAGTTTGCAGCGCCCACCCTGGCTGCAGACTTTAGGGTCCACATTGAACACCCCCCTTGGGGTTTCACATTGGAAACTTTTTGCTTCTTTCACCTTTGCCATCTTGAGAATGGAACACATCCCTCGTTTGTGTGGGTTTCTCAAAGCACTTCAGTTCCAACTGCTCTAGATTAGAAACTGGAAACCATTGAGGCAGCCTGTTTTGTAAATAAAGTTTTATTGGCACGCAGCCATCCACGCCTCTTTGGGAATGTGTTATCTGTGCCTACTTTGGCTGTTTTTCTGCTATAAGGGGAGAGTTGCTACTGGAGACCATCCAGCCTGCAGAGCTGGAAGTATGGCCTATCTGACCCATTTATAAGACAAGTTTGCCAGCCCCTTAGCCAAGGGAATGATGGAGAATCTCAAGGTGCTCCATCTCTCCAAAACCACTCAGGTGGAATAATTTGTGTGCCTGGTGGTCTGGATTTTAATAAAGACATTTGCAAACATGTTTTTCAGAATTGCTGAACATCGAGCCAGCCACTTTCAGGTGATACGGTTAATAGACCAAAACCCAGTTTTATGTCTCAGTGGTTAGGGGCAAGGTCCCTCCTGAACTCCCTGCTAGTCTTCTGAGCAGCAGCTCCAAGTGATGATGAGATTGGTTGTCCTCTGAAGTGCTTAGATCTGAAAAGCCAGCAAGATGCATTAGTGAAGCATTTTATTTTCATTTCAACTCTTTCATTATTTTCTTTTTAACCAAATTTAAGTTAGAAAATATTGACAAACCTCCTGATGTTTTCCAGTGTTGATGAAAGATGTAAGCTCTTTGTGCTTAAAGGAAAAGGCAAGCTTTTTTTTTTTTAATGTAAATTTGACTTGTTTTGTTTCCACCCTTCCCTTGACTTTCATTACTATGCAGAGGAAAGCACTTACTAGCTTCAGGCCCTGCTCTGGCCCCTGAGCATTCCTGGAACTAAGAGTTTGGTGCTAGCAAGTGTTCCTGGATGAGACGTCGGGCAAAGGGTCTGTAGCAAATCAGAAATTCAAAGTCCACGTTTTTCAACAACAACAAAAAATGGCAAGAGTTCAGCATAGGGCTCCGTGGCTTTCTTTTTGTATTGACTTACAAGGCGGCACACTGCTGCCCATGTCTAGCCAACCACCTACCTTTTCACAGCACAGGAGGGAAAATGGTTTTTACCTTTGTAAATGGTTAGGGGGAAATGAAAGGAAATTCATGGGTTTTTTGTTCATAAATAAAGTTTTATTGGAATGCTGCCATGCCCAATCATCTTTGTATCATCAGTGGCTGCTCTTGAGCTACAAGAACAGAACTAAATCAACATAAGAAATGTCCAAACCTGTATGAATTTTTAATGAGTTTATTTGAGCCAAACTGATGACAGTTGCCAGAAAGCAAAATCTCTGATTGAGAAAATGCTCCAGAGAATGGCAGTTATCACTTTATTTTATACATCAGAGTCAAAGAAGACATAAAGGGATCACATGAAGTCTATTGGTGATAGATTAGGAAGACTGGAGAAAGTGAACTGGGTGGGTATCTCTGGAATTGCATAAAAAGTAAAAACGAATAGACACTTCTCTTACATAGGTGGGTTAACAATGACAATGAGGGCCTCTGGGGTATCCTGCTCTGGTGGGAGATTGTGCCCCAGGGGTCTGATGAAAGGAAATTACCCTGACATTCCAAAGGTCTGTTATTGTAGATGCAAAAAGACAATAGACAGGCTTAGTTAGGGTAAAGATTGACCTTTGTCAAGAAAGATTCTGGCCTAGGACAGAACTATCTGCCAAGACTCAATTTTGGCTGGAGTGTTTTAATTTCAGAACATCCTATATGGTTGCTTTAGGTCTCTGAGACTAAGGCCCACCATGCAGACCTGCCCTGAGCTTGTCAGGCTAAATATGGGTTTTCAGAGTATAGAGTTTAGACTATAGACTATGCTGGGGAAGTTGTAGAAGTTATTTTAGGGGGAATAAAGCTTCATTGCATCTAATTAGAGTTTAGTGTCCAAATTGAGGAAAAGCAGAAAAGAGGGTTGTGGCAAAAAGGAAGATGGAGGTCTGGCCCAGACCTGGGCTCTGTCACAGAGAGCTGCGGGCGGGCAACATCGTGGCCTCTCTGCGCTTCCACGTCCTCTTCTGTGGTATGTGACAGTGAAGGAGAAAACTTTGACATCTGCCTCTAACCTGCCTGACACAGGGCAAGCCCTCAGTAAATGGCATTGTTTTCATAGAGGTTATTACTTTTATTAAAAGACATCCCTGACAGGGTTTTATGAGGCTTAAATGAGATGGTGTAGGCAGCTTGAGCTGCCATAATGAAATGTCACAGACTGGGTGGCTTAAACAACAGACATTTATTTTCTTACGGTTCTGGAGGCTGAAAGTACAAGGTCAAGGATCTGGCAGGGTGAAGGTGAGGCCTCTCTCCTTGGCTTCTAGACGGCCACCTTCTGGCTGTGTCCTTTTCTCTTTGTGCATTTCTGGTGTTTCTCTTCTGGTAAGGGTACCTCTGACATTGGTTCAGAGGCCTGCCCTTGTGATCTCATTTAACCTTAATTATCTCTTTAAAGGCTCTGTCTTCAAATGTAGTCACACCGGGGGGTTAGAACTCCAACATGAATTATGAGAGCACACAAGTCAGTCTACATATAACAGATGGTCAAGGGTCTGACCTATTCAGCAGCTGTTAGTTATCTCCTTGGCTAATAGTATGCTTCGAGGCATTACTTTTTTTTTTTTTTTGAAGCTGACCCTGAGAACTGCTACAAAGGGATTTGCCTCCTGATGTTCCATTGTAAAGTATTTGTGTGGAAGTGGATGGTGGCTTCTACCCTGGCATCTCAGACTTTGGTGGCCCATGAGTTCCCTGGGGGTCTTGGTGAAGTATAGGTTGGATTTAGCAGGCTGCGGGTGCAGGCTGCAATTGTCCATGTCTAACCAGCTCCCAGGGATTGCTCATGCTGCTGGTTCCCGGGCCACACTTCGAGTAGTGACAGCCTATGCTGTTCGTTAAGTATCCACTAATCACATGTGATTTTTTCAGTTTCCATCTGAATTAACTAAAACTAAAACCCCAACCCCTCAGTCACAGTAGCTACATGTCAACTTCATTTCATTGCAGAAAGCTCTAACTGGGCAGTGCTACATGTAGAGGAGAGGATGTAAGCCTTTTTTAGTTAAGGGCCTGCTCAGTCTCACTGGGGCAGCTATAACGAGTGGCCACCAACTTCACAACTTAAGACAGTGTGAACTTGTTATCTTACCGATCTGGAGGCCAGAAATGGAAAATGGGTGTCACTTGGCTATGGTCAAGGTGTTGGCAGAGCTGGTTCCTTCTGGAGGCTGTGGGGGAAAATCTGTTTCCTTGCCTTTTCCAGCATTTAGAGGCCACCCACCTCCTTAGTTTATGGCCCCTTCCTTCTTGATCCAAGCCAGGTGGCATGTCCCCAGCACACAGGAGGTCCTCACTGCTGTGGCTTGCCCCGAAGCCCAGACACCAGAGCCAGTTCCAGATTCAGAACTCCCACTTTCCAGCCACATGTCCTGCATGTGACAGGACACCCCAAGGCATCTGGGCTAGTGCACGTTCATCAGAGTGATATTTCTGTTGCAAAACATCCAAAATTCATTCAAAGTTGAACAAGCAAAAATTGTAAATGGCTTGACAAGCTTTGCCACCAAATGGCTTTGTTGTAAACTCAAGGGAAGATGTAGCCTTCAGAGCTTTGAGATTCTGGAATGAATGGTGGGGAGGGACCCTGGGTCTGTGCTATCAGTCCTTGTCCTGACTTTCCATGGGGAGTCGCCCCCCCGCCCCCCCGAGCATCAGTGTCTCTGTGACCAGGATGGCTTAGGCCCAGGATGGCTTAGGCCCAAATCCCAGACTGCCTAGGATTTGACCCCCTTCTCTCTCTGAAGCCTATGTTGTGTTTGTAGGAAATGCCTGAGGAGCATGTTCCCTCTCATAATCTTGCTTCTTGTTTTGGGGCTCAGTTTGGTCCCTGATTTTTTTTTTTTTTTTTTTTTAGAAGTTCCATTGGTCGGTTTGGGGTCTTTTATCCTGGCTTCTGTCTTGCATCTGTGTTCCCGCCGTCCTTACAGCCTCCCTGTTGATTTTTTTGACATCTGTCCCTTAACCTTTGCTCCTCAGGGAAATGGCTTTGATCAGGAAATACCTGATTTGGTTCATGTGCTTCCCTGCAAATCTGGGAACCCTGGGTTCTGGCCCAGAGTCTTCATGTGCCAAAAATCCAGCCATGTGAATTTGGGGAGATCACTCCTAGGAGGAAGAACCGGGTCACCTAGTGTGGGGTAGTTAGGTAACCAGTGTGAAAAGAGGAGAAAACTTACTTAGGGATGGTAAGAAATAAGGCTGGCCAGGAACATGGGCAGCATAGGAAATGCACGTGATGGGTGGTATGTGAAAAGGCCTGGAAAGTCCAAGGGCTTAGGTGAGATGAAGTGGGAGACCACTGAGTTTTTGGAGCAGGGGTCAAGAAGATTCAGACCATGTGTTAGAGAGGGCTGTCTGGAGCAGAGGAGGCCAGTCCTGGTGAAAGCCACAACAAATTCATGGTTTATCCTACAGTTTCTTTA